CCAGCAGCTCCTATATTTTGTTGTTCTACTTCTTCCTTTCATAACTTTGCTGCTGTGTATTGGGAATTTCTCCATTGCGAGACTAATAAAGGTTTTCTTATCTTATCTTATCTTTTCTTATCTTATCTTATCCCTGACACTCCGGGGTGTAAGTCGTACCAGTGAAAAAAGATCGCTAGCTCGATGGATGGAGGGAGGGAGGGAGGGGGGGGAAGAGAGAGACAGAGAGAGAGAGAGAGAGAGAGAGAGAGAGAGAGAGAAAGAGAGAGAGAGAGAGAGAGAGAGAAGTCAAAGAAAAATCTAAACAAATGTGGAATAATGGAAATTATGCTAAAGTCTGGCCATTTGACCTCTGAAGTTATGTGATTTTTGAGAAAATTTCCAGAAAGATTCATGAATTCCAGCCTATCCAACTTCACAGGGAATTAATCATTTGTAGAGTTTCCATTATTTGCAGCAGTATTGTGTAAAAGCATCCTAACAATCGGGTGGGTGGGACATAGCTTACTTCAGCAGCTTGTAGTAAGCGAAACGGAAGGTCTCTTGCAGGAGCACAGATAGCACCACGCCAAAGATGAGGAGGCCTTTCTGCTGAACTGCACTGTCCTTATTACTTATCTGAACGGAGATGAACCAAACCAGAGAGGACAGCAGGAGAGACACAAGCCAGAAAAACGCTCTGGAAGAAAAGTAACCCACACAACAAGTTATAAGAAAGAATGCAAAAATATGATTGTACTTACTAGCGATCATTATGTGTATTTTAAAATGTTCCTGAACAATTTCATTTGACATTTGCAGAAAGAAAAAACAGCTTTGAAAGTGAATGCACACATTCTAAACTAATCAAGATTAGTTCAGAGAAACATTGAACTAGCTCACCCTAATTAAGGTTGCAGTAGAGCTGGAGCCGACTACCCAAGCTGACATTGGGCGAGCGGCAAGATATGCCCTGTACTGGTCAGATTGCTAGTCATTTGTAGAGCACCTTTTAACGATTAACCTAACATGCATGTTTTTGGAATGTACCATGCTACATTTTGTTTGCAAGTTGGTCAATGAGGTAACTTTGCGCTGCTTGCAGATTAAGACAACTGATAAATTTGGTATAAATGGCTTGAATGTCTGTGAAGCAGAATTGTTGACCAATACTACAGGGCTCCACTCTGCCCCTACATGGTCACATTTTGCCCCTAAAATATGAGACAGTGCGAGTAAATTTCTCATCCATCAACTGTGAGCGTTATTGATTGATTGACTGATTGATTATTTTTATAAAATATTTCTTGTTTGGCGAAAAAAAACTATTTTTTTTAAATCACTGAAATAACGCCAACATAAACAGGATGTTGTGATGTCACAAACTAAAAAAAAAAAAAAAGTGGCGTCAAGATTCTTGATATGGAAACACTTCACTCGGAATTGGGCGTACGACTAGTCATGTTAAAGCGGTGCTAATGTTAAAATATATTTTTTCAAATCTGTTTCTTTGCCGGTCCTGCAAACTATGTCTTCACACAGTCAGTGGCACTGTTTGGGGACCGCCGCCATAAAGCAACCCGAAAAATTCTGTGCTGTGCGTGTCCATTGTTGGAATGTCAGTATTTTAATACTTTTGTCATTGAGTATTACTATTAATCTGCATAAATGCAATGTCTTAATTTTTATGAAGTTTGTAGAGTCATAACCAAAAATGCAATTGTACCGCATAGAGACGGTAAACACGAGATCATCATGATACCAAAGTACAATATTATGAATTCTTTGAAACACTATACTTATTCAAGTTCCTTTTGAACTAAGCAAAATGTATAAAATGTATATTTTTAAAATAAAAACGGTGCAAATGAATAAATTCAAGTATGACTTCGTAGTATAAACAGTGTATTGGAGTTTACTTATTATACCCTGTTACACATAACTGATGAAACATTTAAATAAAGTATATGAATTATGAAAATGAACTTCAAATGTGGGTATCTAGACTGGCTTGATAAAATGTGACGAATGAGTTCTCTTTTTTTGTTAGTTTTTTCAGTTAAATTGTGGTGCATTTGATGAAACCATTTTAAATATAATTGAATATTGCAAAAAAAAAAAAAATGTCCAAGTCCCAACACACAGGTCGAACTCTCTCGTTCGCATCTTTATGTATACTGTACTGCTGAATGAACACTGACGTCAGGTTTACCTCCCACAAGTTCCCAATTAACACTGTGGGAAGATAAATTAATCGAATTAATGTACTCTTATCCGAGAGCAACGACATTTTTTTCAGACAAGAGTAAATACGCCATTTTTAATTGTAATGATTCACACGATGATGTTGACTGTCTAGTCAAGAGATACGTGAACACGGGGTAATAGGATGGAAGGTGTGTGTGAATCGACAAAGGAGGCTAATAAATATAGCGAGGTCAGCTAACAGGCTAGCCTCACAACGACTCGCGTTTATCGATCTGAACACGACCAAATCAGCGTTGTCGTCCTCACAATAAAAGCCTAGAGCTCCCACGGGGAAGCAAAGCGACTCACCCTGCTATGAGAAAGATGACCCTCAGAGGCTCCCGGGCGATGGTAAACAGGAACAGAGCGATTGCAGGGCCGAAGGCAATGAAGGTACAACCAAAAAACACCGCCGCCGTCATTTTCGGTGATTTTTGGTGATTGTGCAGAAAGACAAGCCACCCAAAAGCGCGTTATACTGACTTCTACACGATATTTCGGACACTTTTTAAAAAGGACTAACAGCAGCAAATTCGCTCTACTTCCGCCAGTTTTAGGCGTCTCTCGTGATGTCACATGACCAATGGGGCGTGGGGGAGAGACGTCACCTCGCAAAAACTTTATTGACAAATTTCAAACAAGGAGTATTGTTTTCTAAATATTTACATTATTTGCCTCCGTCAAAGGTTTGAATTTATTGTTTTTAATTTTGTTTTTGACCAGGCTCAATATTTCTCTCTTCTCATCCCCTCCCCTCTCCTCTCCTCTCTTCTCGCCCCTTGCCTCCCCTCGTCTCATCTCCTCTCTTTCTTCTCTTCTCTCTCCTGATATGTAGAAAAGCAGAGCCTGGAGGCGCAAAACCAAACTCCAGGTTCTTTATGATATGTCCAAAGACAGTCTTCACATCTACAACCAGGAATTAAAAAATGCAAGACAATTATTCTTCTCAGAGGTTATCAATAGAAACAGCAATAATGTCCGTACATTGTTTGTTGTTGTTGACAGACTGGCAGCACCAGTCCCTTCTGAACTGCTGTGCAAGTCATACAATGACTTTGCAGCCTTTTTCACGGATAAATTAAAGCATAGGGCAAAAAGTAAAAGGCTCCCTCTCAGGAAAAAAATGACAATGTTACTTGTGCCATGTTGTTCTGCAGTTAGTTAGTCTTGAACGTGTTAACTTTCTAGACTACAAATAGTTTTGAAATTAACATTCACAATATTCTGTCTTGATATGATTCCTTCACAATTTTTCAAAAATGTTTTTGATTGCATAGCTCCAAAAGTATTACAGTACTCATCGTGAATAATTCTATTCAATCCGGGAAGTTTCCCCAGGCTGCAAAAAGTACAGAAATAAAAGCCCAACCTGAATTATTCAACAGTAAGTAACGGCAGGCTCGTTACACATCTTCAGGTTTGGGGAAAAAAAACATTGAAACGGTTCTTTTTCAACACATTCACAGTTTTATGATGCAAAATAATCTCTTAAATGCATTTCAGTTTGGATTTTGACCACAACTCAGCACTGAGACCACACTTATTTAAGTAATAAATACGACTTCTGAATATTGATGACTTTAAAACCACTGTCTTGGTATTGCTAGATCTCAGTGCTGCATTTAATATACTGCTCAACAGATTAGAACAGTGGGTCGGATTTACTGGCACTGTGGTTGGTTCAAATCTTACTTGCACGATTGGGATTCCTTTGCCTCAGTTGGTAGTCATGAGTCAGAGCAAACAAAGCTCACATGTAGGGTTCCATAAGGGTCCATTCTTGGACCATTTCTATTGAATATCTACATGCTGTCCCGTGGTCAGATTATGGATCTGATTATGACACGCAACTTTACATTTCAGCATCATCACATGACTGTGGTCTCTTGCATTCATGAAATGTATTCATCAAATCATTTGGTGCATGGACCAGAATTTTACCCAGCTCAATCCAGCAAAGACAGAATTGATTGTTTTTGGCCCCAAAACTGAAAGGTCTGAGATCAGTGCTCGCGTTAATGCTGTGTCATTGAAAGCTACAAATCAATTCAAAACTCTTAGTGTAATTATTGAGTCAGAACTGAAAGTTAACAACCAGTTCAAAGCACCTGTTGGAATCATTTTAATCGAATTTTATAAGATGATTTTTGCAATGTGTTCATATTTTTTTCTCTTTTTGTAATGCTTTTAATGTTTAATGTAAAACAGTTTGAATTTTCTTACACATGAACTGTGCTATACAAATAAACTTGCCTTGCCTTGTAACAGTTATTATAAAACAGGAAGTATTGATCGGGGATCCTTCCACCTCCCGTTTCACCAACTAGTCTCAATCTGTGTTTTTGTCTGTCTTAGATGATCATTTTCCTGATATATTATTTTGTGTACTTTACATAACATTGTTAACAATATGTTTTGATATAAAACACTGAAATGATGACGCTCAACATCAGAAGAATTCCCAGGAGTTTAGGCCTCTGTCTCAAACATTTTCTTCCTGCCATCCATCCCGGCTTTGTCCTCAATTTTCTTTCTCCAGTCCCCGGTCTGTTTCTCCTGAGTGAGACATAAGCAATCAATTAGTTATGCTTGGGCCTATGTGTTCTAAAATACTACAGTTTCAGTGAACTAGAAGAATTAAATCCGGGAAAAATGTCAACTTTGCTAAAACAATGTTATCAGCTCCTTGTGTGTGATTTACCAACCTCGTCCTTCATCTCCTTCTTGACCTGCTTTAGGTTGCCCCTCAGGTCCATGGACACTTTGTGTTTTGACCCCAGCAGGGCAGCTAACATGGCATCAGCTGACATCCGAACCTTCTTCAGGGTCGGCTTCTTAAACTTTCCATTGAGATCCTGAACCTTTAACTTCAGGTCGTTGATCTGATAGGGCAGGGTTGTTATCAAAACAACAATATTGCTTTTATATGGCAAAAAAATAAGACATAACTGCAACATTTTCTTTATCATTATTGATGTGGTACTAAAAGATGCATATTTACCTCCTGGTCAGACTTCTTCACTTTCATTTCCATGTCGTACCTTTCGTCATCTACCAGATCAATCTGCTTGTGAAGTTGCCGACAGAGCTCCTGGCAATGCGTAATACAGACAATGATGAATTTGAAAAGTATGGTGAAAGTTGCATCTATTTGCTGAGAATACAGTATTTTTGTGCTGCCCCTTGATAAGAGCCAGACGTTTAATCACACCAGTGGCTCCTCAACCTTTTACATGTGAAACAAATTTTCACAGACCCCTAACAAGAGACTACATTTCTTTATCGTGACGTTCAAACAATTCATGTATTTCATCAAATTTTTGAATGTCATGACAATTAACATTTAAAAATCTGAAAACTTAGATGTAATTATTGCTGTGCTGCTGTTCCTCGTTTGTCCATCCATCCATATTCTAATCCTGCATTCATTATTAGGGTGACAGGTGAGCTGTAGTTTTTCCCATCTGATGTTGGGAGAGAATCGAGTGCGTACACCCTGTAATGGTGACCAGCTAATTGCAGGGCACATGAGGCTGGGTCCTGCGAAGGCCGCATTTTCGGCTACATGATGCCCAAATTCACCACGGTTTATGCGATCCACAGAGGCTATATGAGGAGGAGCCTTTCAAGGTGTCGAAGGACCCAACCTGCGAATTGTCTTTTTGTAATTTGGAAACCATACGTGGTCAAGTCATGTGGCCCAAAAATGTAGGCAACAATGCAGCCTTCGGATGACGCAGCCTGTGCATTTGGACGCAGCCATCATTTAGACCAGGGGTGTCCAACTGCGGTCCTTGAGGGCACCGAGCTCTGAGAAGCCTGCCAATGATCCTGACCATTTGAATCAGGTGGAGAAGGGAAACATCGAAAATACACTGAATAGGGGGTCTTCAAGAGCCAGTGTTGGACACCCCTGATATTGACAAACAACAATTCAACACCACTCATTTTTCTTTTTTTACTCAGTATAATCCATCCATTTTCTGATCCGCTTTATTCTCACAAAGTCGTGGGGGGTGCTGGAACCTATCCCAGCTGTCTTCGGGCAGTAGGCAGGGGACACCCTGAACCAGTTTCCAGCCAATCGCAGGGCACACAGAGACGAACAACCATCCGCGCTCACACTCACACCTTGGGACAATTTAGAGTGTTCAATCAGCCTGCCATGCATGTTTTGGGAATGTGGGAGGAAACCGGAGTACCCAGAGAAAACCCACGTAGGCACAGGGAGAACATGCAAACTCCACACAAGAAGGCCGGAGCTGGGATTGAACCCACGACCTCTGCACTGTAAGGTCGACGCACTAACCACTGGCCCACCGGGCCACCACCAGTGTAATCCCTCATGGGGGAATTCAAATCACTCTCTGCTGTATATTTGTGTTGCACAGTACTTGGAGAACCAAATCACACAGATGCAAGCATGGCAAGGAGAGCTGTCAGAGTGATTGGCGCCCGCCTATGGACAATTTAGTGTCCAAAGAATACAACATACATGTTTTTAGAATGTGGGATGAAACACGAATACTTGATAAAAACCAGCACAAGCATGGAGAGAACATGCTAACTCCACAGCAGACGGTGAGATTTCAACCTCGAACCTCAGAACCTTAGTTTACAGGGCCAGACATGGCCACTGCGTTGCATTTTGTGCTTGTGATTTGCTGCATATTATTGCTGATAAGATTTGCTCTCTCTGTGAATGAAGGCCATTTCTACATTTTGTGAATGATTGAATCTAATTATTAAACTGATATTTGGTCATAGTTGAGACAATTACACTATAGCTCATTGCTAGCCCGACATGACTCCACCCATCTATCCATTATCCGAGCCGCTTATTCTCACAAGGGTCGCAGGTGTGCTGGAGCCTATTGTGTGATTCCATCGACTGAAATATTCATCTGATAAATGAAGTACAGGTACAGGTAGAAAAATAGTACTTGCTCAATGCTGAAATTTATAAGGCAAGATGAAAAGACAATATGTGTTAGTGATCATAAATCCAGATTCTTGTGGTCAAAACTGACAGAAAGACCATTGATTTTCTCCCCCTCATAAGGTGTCTTGCCTTTTATAAATTCATTGAAAATGATCATGTTGCAAATACTGTACTGATCAGTGAAATCAAGCTCAAAACTTTAATTAATTGTTATTTTGCTGTTTTAACTACATCCATCATCCGAACCGCTGATCATCATGAGGATCAAAGGCCTCTTTTAAGTCATTTGCACATATTGTTCATTTAAAGTGAACTGAGCTTGGACCAAAAATTTAACCAAGAGAAAATGAATGCATTGACTTTGTGAGCTCATATGATGTTTCTCATCCAAGTCAAGTCGGCTCAATGGCAATATAATCCAAGGAATTGAAACATGGACTACTTCATGGTCTCATTGTGTAAAATGAACCCCAAGAAGCGGTAAAATGAACCTCAGGAGGTGGTTTGGTTTACATTATCTCGGTCAGAGTTCATTTTGTGTGTTTGACAGCTGATGAATGTAATGTGATGTTTACCTGCAACTCATGCATGCAGTCAGGAAGAGCGAGAGCAGGGCAGTTCTCCTCCATGTATCTGGTCTTCTCCTCCTGGGCCTGTTCAGCCGCCTCATCGAGCATTGTCTGACCAATCTGTAACAGCAAACTCTGAGGAGAAGGAGGAGCGGAAAGTTCAGCACCACAGAGATTTTTATTTGATTTTTGCATTTGTATCAAATAGATTTAAATAAATATATGTACAATGCCTTATTGGGGTTTGAAATTACAAAACCAATTAAGTGCAGTATTCTGAATGCTAATTTTGAATAATTGAGACTGTTGTGAACAAACATAGCTGATATATTTTTTCATGTTGTCCTTGTCAGCACCAAATTGCAAGTCATTCTAAATAGTAAGGTACGATTAGGGAATAACATATCCTAATCTTCACTTCTGAATGGGTGGCGAACAGGCTCATGAAGCACAAAAATCCTGATTGGTCCTAGAAATCTGAAGTCTGAATTTAGTTGTGTGATTTTCAACAGGCTGAGTCCAGAAAACTCACATTTTATTCAGCAGCAAATTTTCAGCGCTCTCTCAATGTCCATTTGTACGGTTTATGTGATCAAATCATCAATGTCGATAAACAAATGACATAATACAGCTCTCCAGAAAAATCACAGTTAGTCATGTACACCATCGTACTTTACCTTGAGGTAATTCCTCCGGCTTAGTGTCATCTTTTTCCTTCATAGAGAAATATGGGAGATTTCTGTGAGTTTTGTGGATTAACAAATTAGATCTGAGAAAGTTGAGATGAGGACTTACTCTGCCATTTTGACACCGCAACCGATTCCTCTGAGGCCTGCGGGGAAGAAGTGAGATGAATGTAAATGCTCCTCTCTTATAGTGTGTGTGTGTGTGTGTGTGTGTGTGTGTGTGTGTGTGTGTGTGTGTGTGTGCGTGTGCGCGCGCGCGTGCGCGTGTGTGTGTGTGTGTGTGTGTGTGTGTGTGTGTGTGTGTATGTGGCGTGTTTGTGCGCATGCAACCAGTTGTCTTTGGAAGCTGTGGGTAGAATGTGGGATGTAAGAGGTGACAGCGGCAGCTGAGCAACAAATGTTCCAGGAATTCTCTTCTGGAAGCTAACAGTTAGACATTACGACAGTGCCTCACCTCAACTAAAAAATGTTTAGTATTTTTAACAGTCAAATGTCTCTTACAGTATGCTGTAATATGTCTAAACAAATCAATAGATTGATGTTGGAGATGCATCCTGCTGGGATGAATGGGGCTTACGTCAAGAAAGGTCCGTCCACCCCCCACCCCCCATATGAAAATATAGTTTTATAATCTTATGTTGCTATGTTTTTTCTTCAGACTTTTTTGACAGCCAACACTAATGACAAAATTTGGGAGAAAGCATGGAAAGGAAGACCATTTTTAAAGAGACGATTGGTAAAATGTTGTCTATATAAAGATAAAGCCTATTTTCAGAAAATGTGTTTTTGGTTTTCTCTGTGGTAACAATGCTTCTTGAGAATGATTGCAATAGCATTTGAAAGCGCCCTTGGTTGCAAGCACTTGTGAGCACCGGCTCTTTTAAAATGGTCATTTGATTTCTGCTCCAAGAATTGGCCATGCCAAATTAGTTTGACCACATTTTTTTATGTTCAGACGTGGACAATCCAAGTCCAGAAAGTAAAAACCCTGCTACAGTTTGGCTTTTGCTCCAAGTGGTTCTACTCAACTAACCAATTAAGTAGAAGCACAAGAATACAAGCAACCATTCACACTCGCATACACACTCTGTGGTCAATTTATAGTCTTCAGTTGACCTAACGTGTGTTTTAAGAATGTAGGAGCAAGCTGGATTACCTTGGGAATACAGTACCCATATATGCATGCCATGGGGAGAGCCTGCAAACTCCACAAAAGAAGGCCAGAGAAGAAAACACCTCAATATACTGTAACATGAATTCACAAGAAGCATTGCCACAACACAGAAATAAAAGCTATCAAACATAAAGCAATATTATAACTTTAAGAACTGTACTTTTACACTGATAACGATGTGGCGAATCACTATTACAACAGTTCTGTGTGCTAAAGGATCATTCACGTGAGTCTATCTCGTCTGTTGTTGAAATTGCAGATTTATGTGCAATAGATGCTAGTTCAATATCAGGTTGAGATGACAGTGAAAGGGAAAGCAGTGTATTCTGCAATGACTTGCTTTGAGGAACAGAGCGTTGTTTTTTTTTAAAACCCTGAAGGCAGGGGAACACCCAGAGCTGGTCATCAGTCAGTCAGTGAGCACAAAAAAAAACCCCACACTTTAAGCAATTTAGAGCCTTCAATGAACCTATCATGCATATTTTTGAAATATGGGAGAGAGCGACCATACCCAGATAACACCCACCAGAAGAACATTCAAATTCCACGCTAGAGAGAACATCTTGACTGTGAAGCAGATTCACAAACCGCAAGCTTTACTGTTGCATTTAATTTCTTTACTGTGTAGGTTGTCTACACAGGGCCTGAAGTGAGGATTTGTTCAATTACTGAAGGATCTCAACAGCATGATGCATCTTTGAAATGCAAGTTGTACCTAACGCCGAGAGGGGGGCGGATTAGTGTGGCTGATGAAGAGCCAGAAAAAGGCCCTGGCAGCTGTCACCTCTAAATTTAGGAGGATTTATTGAGCCCCTGGGTTCCCAATCAGCTGCTCGGTAGACAGGCATTCAATTTTGCTCACACAATACACCTTCAGTTTATTTTAAAGTGAGAATTATCTTTATCTATACTTATTTGTTCTTGTTACAGAAAACTCAAGAAAAAACAAGTTCCAATCATCAAAACTATATAAAAAGAACATATTTTGAAACCCTTACATCATTCAGAACCACTGCAAACTAGAACCAGAAAGATGAACATTCATTCATGCATCCATCCATCCATTATCTGAACCGCTTATCCTCACAAGGACATATTGTTCAGTAATACCTCTGATCGTGTCAATCAAAACTAAGCATAACTTTGTAAATGAGAAGATAATTTCAAACTGGTCTTGTTTTGTATATCATTGTATCGTGGCAACCTGTCATAACAGTCATACTGTTGTGGCTGAAGGTCAGTGTGTACTCTACAGTGCACTATTTTCATTGATTTATTTATTAGAACATCACTTCACATCTGCTGTTATCAGCATTGATAATCACCAAAACATCTCATCTGACTCCTATCAATGCTGAGAAGCAACATCTCTACTCTGAGCCCATTCCAGATGACCAAGCTTCTCACGCTATCACTAAAAGAGAGGACGTACACCCTGCAACGGAAACTTATTTTAGCCACTTGTATGCGTGATCGTGTTCTTTCAGTCATGACTCACAACTCATGCCCATAGGTGGCAGGCAGGAACATAGTTGGACCAGTATATCAGCTCCCTCTTCATCATGACAGACCGATATAGAGTGTTCCTCACAACACATGCTGCACTAATCCAGCTGTTGATCTCCCATTCCATTTTTCCCTAAAATACTTAAACACGTAATTTTAATCACACTAGTGGGGCTGTATAGAGCATATTATAGTCTTGGAAAGAAAATTGTGAGGTTGACTTCCCTTTTAAGCAAATAATCTGTGACTGTTTCATGCTTCTTGCTAAAATCCGCACCTCAATTGAAGAAAACTGTCTTCACTTCGAGTAATGCTGAGCAATTGCAAACATTTTTCACTTCCAAAAACCATAATGGCAGTTTCTGTCATGTACATTACACTGTGTGGACAAATGGCAGCATTGGCACACTGGCGGCAATGCACCCCAAAATTTAAAACAAAAAAAGGTACATGAAATGGTTTTGTGTTTTGTAATAGCATGTCAGGGATGCATGGATACATGTATGGGAAACGTGTGCCCCCTTGTGGAGCCAGCCTCTAGAGAAGAGATGCATGGTCGAAATGGGTGGGCCTGGGAAATTGTGCAAAATGGAAGTTAAACTTTCCGTAAACATTCAGGAAAAGGGCAAAGCCATCAGCTGTTCTCATACCTGTCAACTTTTCGGAGCGCCAACCTGTATAAACTACCAAAAAAATCCTTATAAAGAGCAAAAAATCCTGATAACATACCAAAGCATTTTACATGTCAAAATAACGGCAGAAAAAAACCCCACGAAATATGAATGATATATTTGTTTCCTTGTAGAACTTGCTTGTACACTACCGAAGTATGCAATGCATACTCTGCTGTTTTCAACTAGGAACACCGTGATTTACTGGAAAGTTACCGGAAATTAAAGCATTCTAGTAGACTAGCACCATTCTGGGCAAAAGCAAACGGAACTACCTGTTAGGGGTAAAAAAACAAACAAAAAAAAACCCCGGAAATTTTCAGAATCCGTATGATTTGTGCGATATGGCCATATACGTAAGATTCACCACAAAATCCGTATGAACTATGGCTAAACCGTATGAGTTGACAGGTATGTGTTCTGAAGAGAAGAAACGAGCAGATTACGTAGGTATGACGGCAGCATTGTTCTATAGTCACTATAGTATGTTGTTATGGAGCGAGTGGTCCCAATTTGTAATTGCTGCTTACTTCTTTTGTGCTGTTTATGACTGTAGTACATTGCTTTATATGAGCCCTTGTGATGTTTCTTTTTTGAGCCTCTCGCTACTTGCTTAATTGCATCCAATACGTGCGTTTTCTTGTTAAAATTTCAGTTAAAATGAACTGACACCGAATTATATATTTTTGAAAAAGTAATGGTAGCCTAAGCTTTGTTTTTTTCTTTTCAAATCACAAGGTCTTCAAGAAGCTCTGAGAAGCCTGATAACAATCTTGATCTTTTGAATAAGGTGTGTTGGTGGAGAGAGACATCTAGAATGTTCTGGACAGGGGCCACCGAGGACAGGGGTTGGACAATCCTGGGGGAGGGGATTGCAACTGTTGATGATAACCTTTCGTCTATTTATTATGCTTGCTGAAATGATGGTTGTTTTTGTTCAACAGTATTTTGCGTCAGATACAATGCTATTTAAACCAGGATGACATTTTCAAAGTCAACAAAATCTGACATGAGCATCATAAGCATCTGTTTCTATTTTCAATGATATATTGGTCCCAACAAATGTACCTTTAGTTGTAATAGGCATTTCATATGAACATTAAACTGAAGGAGCAGGAGTGGTCTCTTCATTTCTTCCACGGCTGTATCGTCACAACTGGCCCGCAGGCTACTCATGACCCCTGGCCCACCTACATACTAAATTTTGGATGAGATTATTGCATATGACGGGCAACCCGATGGTCGACTGTTCAGCATGTAAGCATCACAGTGCAGAGGTGCAAGGTTCAATTCTGGCTCCCGTCCTCCTGTGTGGAGTTTGCATGTTCTCCTCCTGCCTGCGTGGGTTTTCCCTGGCTATTCTGTTTTCCTCCCACATTCCAAAATAGAACACTAAATTGTCCCTAGGTGTGAGTGTGCGCGTGAATGGTTGCATGTCTCTGTGTGCTCTGTGATTGGCTGGCAACCAGTTCAGGGTGTCCCGAAGAGAAGCTGGGATAGGCTCCAACACGCCCCGCGACCCCTGTTAGGATAAGCGGATCATAAAATGGATGGATGATTGCACGAGAGTTCCTGATTATTATGTGATGTACGTGAAAGCTAAAAGTGAATCTGACAAATTAGTCTATTTTTTTTCTATCGTAAAATGTAAAGCCTTTGTTGTTGAAATGGCAGTTGTGTTTAGCTTCACACCTTGACTTTTATTGTGAACTAACTGAACGGAAGTAGTACAATGTTGTGGTTCTCACAGGGCTAGTTTAACGGTGGTGCGAAGATGGCGACGTACAGTCGCTCTCCGCTGCTGCTACTGCTGTCATCATACGTTTG